GAACCACTTAAACTCCCCAGATGCCTTGTATTGTCTAATTAAACTCTTCACAGAGATGAAAATCATCTAGAAGAACGTCCTTTCCAATCAGCAGGCAGTTTGGGGATATATAAGAAAAGGTAAAGATTCCCTTGAGTCAAACACAACTCCTGGGATATTGTTTTAATTGCTTTAATATACCAAAAAAGAAAAAAAGAAAGGAAAGAAAGAAAGAAAGAAAGAAAGAAAGAAAGAAAGAAAGAAAGAAAGAAAGAAAGAAAGAAAGGAAATATGTTAAAAGCACAAAGGGAAATAGAGGGGGGGAAAATAACAAGAGAGAAAGAACAAATGCCTATTATGTTACTCACAGGAAATCAATATCCATTTTTAAGCATCTCATTAAATCTTAACCACATGGAATAATATTGATTATAGACCCAGTTCATGAACAGGAAGGGAATACAGATCAGTGTTCCAAAACTGTGAAACTGGGGGTTGCACTGTCTTTTAGGGGTCTCCATGGGGAAGGGGTGTCAAAAAAGTCAAGAGGCAGCCTCTAATGCATGATCAAGGGCCCAGCCCATTTTACATGTATCATGCCTGCTAACTTTGCCATCACGCTGATTCTCAAGGGTGTTTCTGGGCCCACAGAAGCCCAAGAAGTATCCTTAGGAAATAAAATAGCGCATGGCTACAGCCCAAGCAGTGCCATCTTGCCTTTTTTGACCTCCCCTCTTTTCTTTGAAGCATATCCTCTGCTCAAAAGACCAAGTATGCTAAGAAGTAACGGATGGAGTCCTGGAAGCTATTGGGGTGGCACTAGTTTGCCTTCTGGCCAAGAGGTCTTTTGTAACTGGTCTTACCCACAGGGGCAGCCTTTGGGGGAATGTGCAAACACTCATCCCTGGCAGCCGTTTTGTGAGAACTTCGCAGCAGGCTCCCAAAGATCCAGATGCAGGTATTGGCCCACGGGGGCCTCTGGGTTTTAGATCCTGGGGATTGTGTCTCCATCACAGCATTGGAAGAAGCTGTAAGCCTAGTAACCCTTACTTATAAGTTAACCCCGCTGGGGCCCTGGGGAAGACCAGAAGCTCTGTGGCTGCAGTCCATGGAAAAGCACCGTTTGAAGGGCAGATGGGGCACCTCCTCCACTTTAGCCTTGGATCCCAGGAGTTCATTCTACGGCTGGCTTAATTAAGTGGCCGTTGAAGATGATGTAGATGTCCGACTCCTCGCTATAGATAGCGTTCTCCCTCTCCCGCTTGAACATTCGTATCCAGACCTCGTCCCCTTCCAGGAGGTCCAGCATGAGACTTTGGCTCTGCATGATGCTTCGCTCGCTGGGCTGAGAGTAGAGGATCGCCACTTGGTCTTCATTCTTCATGATGTGAAGGTAGGTCTCCTTGTAGTTCCAGGTGTGGACGTTCAGGCTGAAGAAGTAGATTCCGGGGACGTAGCAGAAGAAGCTGCCAGTGAACATGTTGAAATGCTTATAGAGGTTGACGAACTCGGGGTCGAAAGTGACCCGCTGATAGTAATCCAAACTGTGGAGGGGTTTGCTGCGGCCGATTGAGAAAGCAGCGTAATGCTGCTTGCATGAATGACCGGGGGGGCCCACATGACCTTTCTGTCCTTTCGGGCCACTGGAACCCTGCAGGCCTGGCTCGCCTGATTTGCCTTCGGGCCCGGAGCGTCCTTGTTCCCCCATCTCGCCTTTTTCACCTAAGGGCACAAGAAGGAATGAGGCTTTGCAGATCAAGACAACCTGGCCTTTCTTCAGCAGCTCTCTTCCCCTGCCAAAGAGGGCCCTGTGGTGGGGATTTTGATGTCTCTGCTGGATGTTTTGGGGCTGATTTAAGGGCTGGTCATGGTGGAGGAGATGGTTCCCCGTCACAGAGCTCTAGGGCTGTGATGGAATGGACTTATGAAGGCCAGGCTCAGGGAGATAAGCGTGTTCTTAGCCCCCAACAGGAGTGTGGGAATTTCAAGAAGTTGAGGCTGGCGCCTCCCTAAGGAATTCACGGTGTTGTGGCTGGCTGGCTTGGGAACTAGGGTTCAGTCTGGGGAGATTTCTAATAAGCTAATAAATGCAACAGAACTGTATTTGCATTGTCTCGTGGAGTTCTTTGGGTTGAACCTGACATCAATCTCACCAGA